TCCTAGCTCCCTCCCCCCCCCACACACACACAGCCCCCCTGCCAGTACTACTAAGCAGCTACAGACCTAAGTAACTATGGGAACTGGTTCATTGGATTAAATACTTCATTTGTTAATTCTGATTAAATGTGTACCATCCGTACATCGAATAAGTGGACGCATGTACCTTGGCCCGAATGGAGAAACCTTGACAGTTCAGTGACACCTCAGAGCATCTCTAAATGTCCTTCTGCTTTTAACATGACACTTACAACCCATTTATACAGCATTCAGTCATGTGCATCAGGTGTTTGTATCTTTTGGGAAGTGGAGCAGGGAAATGGAGGGAACCCACAAGTGGTTGTGGTCACCATGTATTTTATTCACCAGCCAGCTTTCCTCCAGCAGCCGGGCTCCCGTTCAGCCTGACGTCAGCGTAAACCTTCACTCTTTTCCCGTCCCGCCTCTCCCTGACTTCCAGCCTCGGCACCAGAGCTGGTGCATCCGTCGCCTCCTCAAAGGAGGGATTTTCACAACCATAAGGAGGTCGCTGAAAGAATCCACAGCTGCCACTGTATGTCACTTCCTGTGATATAATTATCCAGAAGCCTAGCTCTACTGTGACACACACAACCTTCCATCTGGCTGGCTTGAATTGGGGGGGGGGGGTCTGAGGCTGGGTGGCCTGGCATTAGGCCCCCCAGGCCCACAATCTGACAATTTTTGTAGCACTGTTTACACTGTTTACCTAAAAACCTCTCCATTTATCCAACCCCCTGATGTTTGTTGTTTGGAGTCACAACAACTATCTGGAATAATAATAATAATAATAATAATAATAATAGGAGAAGGAGGACATTAATAACAGTAATCATTATTTTATAAATAGACAAATAATTTCATATATAAGTTAATCAATTTAGTACTGTCTACTTTTTAAACTTGCTTTAACTATATTTACTGTGCACAATGTGTCCATCTTTTGTACCTTCTAAGCTGCTATGGATTTAAAGATGCCGCTGGACACAGACGAGTGTTAGTCTGTGACAACTTCCAACACTATCTGAGCTAATGCAAAAACAAACTTCCTGTAAGACTAAACATCATTATTGCCCTTGCAGGAGAAAACAATGCAAGACTTGCATGCTGTCTGGTCTTTCCGAGACACATATCTGGGGTAACACACAAGACTACGACAGAAACCATGTCTGGAGTTTCCAACTTTATGGCTAAAAAAAGAGGCTCTGTGTAAAAATCTCACACAAAGGAATCATGTTTTATCTTCAAGTAAATTTCTGACAAATTCACTAGAAGCATAAATATCAGCCTAAATATCAGCAATGGATTCACTTTTATGTTTTTAAATGAACATATTAAAAACATTAACTGGATGAAAAGTGTCTCTATAGTTTGCATCATCTCCAGTGAAGTGATAATGTGCAGGTTAACCACTAATTTTAATACGGAAGATTGCCTGCAACAAAAGACAGGTGAGAAGTATATTTAAGCACCGCCCCCAGCTCCACTTCCCCTCTTTTATGATTCACTTCATAGAAAATTTCAACAAGAACATTTCTCAAGCCCCCCTTCTAAAATTAGTCCTGGGGCAGCTCCCAGACACCCAGTCTTAGAAAATAGGGACATGAAAACATAACCTTCTCCAAGTGGTTGATTGTGGGGGGATGTGTGTGAAGAGCAGAGTTGGGTGAGACAAACTGGGAACTGAACTCCACAGCACATCTGAAGGGCCCATCCTGCCTCGGGGGGGTGGGGGGGAGGGGTGGTGGACCCAATCCATGTCATGCTGATCTCAACGAGGCTTATAGCAGACAATTACGCTAACTTGGGAAAAATGCACAGCTGCTCCTTCCGCATACATCTTAATGGTTACAAGGATGGTCTTATTTCCCGTGGATTGTTTTCCCCCAAGCCTTTCGCAATGTGATTCCTCAGTACTTATGTATGGGTCGATAAATGGCAAATAACAGCAGCCGGGGGTTTATATATACATATATCATGCTGGGGATGCCACCGCCACACACGCCCATCCTGGAAATGTTAGAGGAAGGGAAAATCTGCTTGCAGAGATTACCGAGGCATAGCGACAAATGCGTCCCATGCGTTTTTCGCTTGGGAATCCGGATTTCCCACTTACGATTTATAAACGTCACCGTGCACAGATAATACCCTCTTCAGGTCCAAACTTACAATGTGTGATTACGCATATGCACGCGAGTTTCCAGAGGTGGACAGTTCAGGTTCAGAAAGTACAAATACAGATCAAGATCTTCTTTCAACCAACCAGTTCAGTACTCTGTGAATGTGACTCTGTATACTCAGCTGGTTCGTTGAAACAAAATCTTGATCTGGATTTGTACTTTCTGAACCTGAATTTTCCACCTTTGTGAGTTTCTCCTAGTTACAGATCGTTGCCAAGTATTGGGGACACAACAACTCATTCGAAAGCACCTGATGGAATGGTCTGAAGAGACCGACCTGACCATGTCACAGCAGCATCTCAAGTTCATATTTCACAGGAGATATACCCTTTCATAGACAAAACTAATTTCATGTGCAGCTTTTTTTGTACACACAAAACAAGCCCTTTCATTAAAATTAATTACGCAAAGTGTGAGTTGTTAGAGGATGAAATGGATTACGTACTTTGAAGATAAGCAACACAAAATGGTTTCATGTAGTTCAAAAAGGGGGGCAGCAATTCAAAGCAGATTGAATCAGCCTGTTTTTGCAAATGTTAACAACACAAACGTCACAGCAGGCTTTGGCATGGAATTTCAGAACCAGAATTGGGGATGCAGGGGGAAAATAGCACATTTTTATGAAAGCATCTTCAATCCAATTCAATATCAATTCAATTTTATTTGTATAGTGCATTTTCACAACATTGCATTGTCTCAATGCACTTTACATTATCTCTACCCTAAGCCCCCAGTTAGCAAGCCAGAAGTGACAGAGGCAGGGAAGAAACCTTAGGAGAAGCCAGACTGAAAGGGGGAGCCCAGCCTCCTCAAGCCAGCAGAGCAAACAACAAACAAAAGCTAACAGAGAAAAAGATCTTATGTTTGTTCCTTTCTGTGTTGAAAGGCTCATATATACACAGTTACATTTGCATGTATTTCATACATGTATCCATTTTCTATGCCCGCTTATCCTATGTAGAGTTGTGTAGGTCTGCATTCTATCCCAGAAACTATGGGCACAAGGCAGGAGATAACCCAGGATGAGGCACCAACCCATCAGAGGGCACACACACAGTTTATGCAATCTGGCAACTATAGTTAACATCAGCATATTTTCGGGCTGTAGGAGTGAAACTGGAGAACTGAGAAGAAACCTCACATCGACACCGTGAGAACATGCAAACTCCACATATATAGAGCTGGGGGGGCGGAGACTCAAACCCTGGTTCCAGATGTGTGAAATGTTTCATAATTCACTTAACCAGTGAATGCGGTCTGGCATTATGCAGAGACAGTCATTGGTAAAGGCCAAGTAAAGAATCAATGCCTGACAATCAGGCCGACAATGCCTGTGTAAGGTAGATCTAGCTACCCCACACTGCCGAACCTCCAGTCAAGAACCAAGAGGGGCCCAAGGGCCTCAGGCAGTAAGGGCAGGTTTCATGGCTGTGTAATTTTAGAGCCAGAAGTAGATACAGCTCACTTAGCTTCAGAGCTGACGTCACTGTGATCAGTTCCGCCCAAGACATTTATTCGGTCATGATCTAATGGCCTGGGCTGGCACACTGTGCTGTGGTAGATGCCAAAACACACACGGGATGGACGAGAGGCAGTCATCCCACAATACACTGCTCCCTAGGTTTACTAATGTGTGGAGACCCATATATTTTATGCGTAAATAAAAATCACATTTCAGACAAAACAACAAAACTAAAAGAAACAGCACAATGCAACATCAGCGTGGGATTGAAGTCAAGGAAAGTGACGGATGTCAGAGATCACAGCGGACAGGCCCACCTTGTGATGATTTAAAGTTCAGTGATATAAACAGCTGCTGCACCTACCAAAGGTCCGAGGGTGGCTGTAAATGGCCGTAAGAAAGATTCCACACTGACAGTTAAAAGCTGGAAAAATATGTAAGGAGGAACACTCTGTGACATGCTAGGCTGCGGCTGCGGCTCCTCCTTGCCGGTCACACCCCTGGCCGTCACACAGCCAGATCCAGAGATTACACCATAGCTGCTTTGTTTTACATCTGCTGGCGAAAGCACACTGGGTATTATCCACTATGTGCTATCCGCACTCTTCTCCCCCCCCACCCTTGGTGAAAACAACCCGAGAGCATTCCTTTGTTGTGCACGTTTTGTGGTCTGTGGCCTCAAAAGAATGAGAGGATAAAACAAAGGATGGGACCGGGCGGGAGGTGTGGGTGGCGGTGCGTGTGTGAGGGGGAGTGGAAGCCGTCTACCGCTGTCTTCAGTGCTTGCCCACTCTTTCATCTACAGTATTTGGTTTCCCCTTCGCCTTTAATCGGATGAACGGCAGCCAGAGGACTGTTTACATGTCTGACAGAAATCCAAGGTCTTCTATCACGATCGGTCTCATCGCCGTGAAAAGAGGGCTCAGAAATGCCTTGGTGGGTGGCAAGTTGCAGCCTGGATGCTGAACTCCCCCCTAAAACGCAGCCATTGAACATCTGGGAGCATAAAACCACTCAGAGGGACCTCGCAAAACTAATCATACAGCTACAAATGTCACCAGCCAAAATCTATGACCTCATAAAACAGCTTTTCTCAAAAACGATATAGAGAGAGTATGAACGGCTGGTAACAGATATGACCGCATATAACATAGGATGAGAAGCGTAGTTCTCAAAACATTGCAAGGGGCTTTAGAAATTGGGCAATTACTCAAGAAGTTGGAGAAATCGTGGATAGGATTCGTGGCAAACAGTGTTGGGGCTAAGGCAGAATTTCATGCTGAAAAAGCTTCGAGAAGATCTGAGAAGGTGTTGAGATAGTCATAGTCTGATGCTCTTACCTGTAGCTCCTTGGATGTCAATATTGGACCCTGGGGTGCTTCCGTCCTCTTCTCCACTGGGTCTTTCTGAAAACAATGCACAGAACTTCTGACCAAGTTTCTCCAAACAACAACCACCAAAGAGCGGCCAAAATGTCTCAAACCCATAACCTAAAACAATGTTGCCCCTTATAACATAATTATGCATAATGTAACTACTTCACAGTAACCCCCTCACCTCCTGAAGCTTCATCCATGGCAAAGTCCTCGTCATCAGATTCTGCCAAGAACCTCTTAAACTGCCTTCCCCCCCGTTCGGCCTCCATGTCCTCTGGAAATGCCACCTCGCTCCATACCTTGGAGCTCTGAGCCACCTAGACGCAGCAAAACACAAAGGAAGAGGTACATGCGTTAGCTTTGTTTGCACTCTCATTCTCTCCAAATGTGAAACTGAAAAATGGTCACCAGTAAGTGAAACTGGAAAGAATCAGAAAAAATCTATAACATTGAGAGTGGACCATTTTACACATTTAATCTCATTCAATTCAAGTGTTCTGGAAAGAATTTTTCTTGAACTTTTAATAATGAATATTAATCATTCCAATTGGTAATACCTATCTCTATATCTATATATCTCTATCTCTATCTGTCCATCTCTCTCTCTCTCTCAGTCTCAATTCGGGAGTGATTTAATGTGCACTCACTCTGCTTTATTGGGGCTCATACAAGCTGCCAGTTATTGCCGTAGCCCACAATGGCTGTTTTATTTTAAGCTGACAGCGGGACGTTTGAGAGATACAGATCTGTTCCAGCACGCCTCGAGCACCACCGGCGCCTCCTCCGGGTTCAGCGTACTGCGACGCGTGTTTTCGACGCGTGTTTTCGCAAAGGCGGCCCGCAGTCGAGCGTGCCCAGGACCTCGGAAAGATCACGTCACTGTCGGTTCTTCATGTTTTGCGGGGTCGTGCTTTCATACATCACGGATAAGGCAGGGATGCACTTCAAACGAACTGCCACCGGACTGGGCCCCACCTGTCGCCCGCACGCCGTGTGACATCACAGATATAGAATGTGACTGTTATGACTGTTAGTCACCTAACCCATCTCTCTGCGGCCCCGACCCTTGTATACAACCTTGGGATGTTGCCACTGTTGGCATTTCTAGTCGACACGAGACACCAGTTTCTATTTCCACCTGATTCCATCATAGTAGAGTTCCCCATTTAAAAGCTCCCAGCTATTAAATAACTTGATCTCTCCCCCAAATCCTTTCTCCCCTGACTGAGTACCCTGTAACAATAATCGCAGGGCTATTTCAAAAGGAAAGCGCCGATTGGCAAAATTCTTTTGGTTGGAGACGACCAGCCAACCGTTACTGTGATCATCTCCCATTCTCCCCTCCCTCAGACTAGTGTCCTCCAGACAGGGAGGCAAAAGCCCATCCCAGGACAAACTGGGAGGAAAACAGCCATGGAAGAAGGACTTTTGGGAAAGATTTCTGTCTAATGACCTTTCTACCTGTTATTATTCATCACCAAATGAAATATATTTACAGACAATGAATAAACTGGGATAAATAGCTATATTTTTACTTTTATTTCCCAATGTGGTCATACTGTGTTACCATTTTTTGCTCAAAAACTCATCAAAATTAACTGAAAACGTCAAGATACAACAGAAAAATATAAACTGGAAAAGGATAGGGCCTGCCATCTAATGAGTAGCAAAATTAACATTAATTGACATCAAATTTCCCTCTATATATGAAAGAAAAGAAAAGCCAATTATATCACGCTTCATTCCAGTGCCTTTTTTGCATACTGCTCCCCTTGACAGATTTATGGCTTACCTAAATAAAAATAAAATAAATCAGTCACAGCACAGCATATAAACATGATGCCCTTCCCCCAGCCATCCTCAAGTTTCACGCATCTATAAAGCGAGACACAGACTTGTTCCAGCTCCGAAAGTCCCTGTTCTCCAGACCACCAAGGGGTGGGGTCAGAATGGTACGTAAAGGTAGTGCATGAAAACAGGGAGAGGAACAAGCCAGAATTATTCCCTGGGGATAATTTTTTCCACATTGTTTGTCCAGTTGTCAGACAGATATTTGAAACGATGGCTATGTATTCCTCTGCCACAAAACAGAAAATGGCTCATGGATGCTTAACACAGGTTTTCCCAGCTGTTGTTTACAGCAATAGAAATCTCTTGACTCCTAGTCAGTCCGTGGACAATCGATGAGCCGGAGGGGCAGACTGGCCGGGAAGGAACTGTTGGATTCATGGATCTGAGTCAGATCCCAAAGGACGGACAATCGGAGGATGTTGACTCGTCCTTGTCCAAAAACACTGGCTCTCAAATTAAGTTGAGCAGATGTGCGGTAGTGTGGCCTGTGCGAGAAAGGCATGGAACTCCCTGGCTCCCAGTTTGATTCATACCCCACTCTCAGGCCCTCCTGAGAACTGCCCAAATGGCTTCACGTCTCCCATTCCATCTCGGAGCAAAAATGCAGACAAACTATGAGAAAGGACCCTCCGCAGCAGCTGGCCCCCCACTTCTGCCAGAACTTGGGATCTCAAGTCTGAGCCCGGCATCCGTGGCCCGTGCCATTGCTGCTCGGTGACGAAAAGGCCGGCAGCATGTCACATGCATAGTTCATAACCTTGAATTAGGACAGGATTACAAGGCAATTCAGATTTCTGAAACTCCTCCAAGGTTTCCAAGCCCGCTTACCAGCAAAGACGTGGGCAGCCTGCCTCCCAACAGACCTTGCTTTTCATCGGACGTGGCTTTTATGGCAACGTCTATAGAAAACTATGTCAAAAATGTCCTCAATCCTGAATTTAGTCATTCGAGGTGACAAGGCAGAACAATGTCCCTCTGGAGGTCAGCAGAAGGCCCGATATTATAAATGGCATATGAATGGGGAGGGAAAGATGTAAGCAGGGTCGCTCTCGTAAACACAGAAGAATGAAGTTGCTGAGAGTGTGGAAATACATTACATTTGAATTATTTATTGTTTATCCAGTGTGAGAAAGTTTGGTCAACCAGTCCCTGGAGCAATTGGGGGTTAAGGGCCTTGCTCAAGGGACACAACAGCAAAATCACGTTGCTGACCAGTAGATTTGAGCCAGTGGACTTCTGAGCTCAGGCACTGCATGCCAACCGGCTGAGCTAAACCCCACCCCCCACCTCCAAATGATAGCTTCCTGGGGGAGTTTGTGAGAACCCAGGCACTGCCTAGCACAGAGGGGGTACATAAGACTCACTCAATCTCTAGGACTAAAGAGCAAAAGGTGGAGAAGCAACAGCACTTAGCTGGTATCTATAGGACCATAACAGAGCTATTTTTCACTGGCTCACCCTGAAAGCACTGTCAGTTTCTTAGAGACAGCCATAAAGCAATTACATACGGCAAGAGTGATGACAGCAACCGGTGAAAGAGTAAGGTTTTAAAAAAAGTTTCTCGGAGTCGTGGTACGTATGGCATACAAAATATCTAAACCACTGAGCAGCATGAGCTTCCAAGAGAATCGGCTAGTCTGTGCGTGTTGAGCAGTGAATGACACGGGCAAAGACTGTCACTTTTGACTCAAAAATCTTGATGGGTGACACCATTCAGCTTTGTGTGAGGAGCAGGGGGAGAAGCTCTAGGAAGTCTTTGACTGAGCGAACATTCCATGCGTGTGGAGGCATTACATTTGTCCTTTTCAGATCTTAAATAAAAAACACTGACAAAAACAGCTCAATGGATGCAAATCCTTCAAAACACTTCTTTTTTTCTCTCTCTGTACACAATGGCAAAAAGAAGTGAAATGGAAACAATCTGAATGCAAACTTTGCACACACCAGGAATCTTTCCCCTGGCCATTAATCCATTTAGCCTTTCACATCATGCCACGCACTGCAGAATATGCACACCGGGTGATACTAGCGTTTTGTGATATGCATGAAAATGCGGAGATGTGTCCAGAACAGCTGCTCCACGTCAGGCATCAAATGTTGCCCGAGCTTCTCAACAGGGTTATGACTAACAAGTTTCAGCTTCTACTGTTGCACTTTCCTGCTCGACACATCCAAATCCATTTCACTCTCGATTAAAAGATAATGACATATTTTTCCAAGAGATGCCACCATCGAGCCCTGCAGATCCCTCTCACTTTAGCCCATGTCAATCTGATGACATGCTTGCATAACAGGACGAAGAGCCGCACATACTTGTTGTTGTCCGTTCTCGTCCACTGAACTCGCCAGAACTTGTGCTCTGAAACTAGACCTCCCCCCTCAGCGGCGTGATTCCTTTTTATTTACAGTACCCTTGGTACCAGAAAAAAATCAGTTTTGCTCATTTATTTTGTTGAATATTTGTCAGCCTATGACTCAGCAGGAGGCTGGATAAGTTCAGCAGATGCTCAGAAATGACAAAGTGCAATCAGGAAATGTCACTGCACCCTGTATTTATCTGGGATTTAGTGGTAGAAGATTTGTGCCTTTATGTGTCGTAAACTGACTTTAGTGATGGAGGAGAACCATAGGTTATTTTAAAAATCAGATACAACAATGTTTCAAGCTAACTTAAACGGCCAAGTTGAAGTATCTCGTAAAGGAAGAGCTGGATAACAGCAAAATGGCCAAGGCATACCAAAGTTCAGCCCGTCAAGGGAATCTTAATGGTGCTGAGATTTAAGTATGCTTTTGTGGTCTACTAATGCTGTAGCATTCAGACATACTGAAGACTTTAGAGACTGCAAGATTGTATCAAAATACATTCAGGGAACAGACTGCTGGCAAATGTGGTGACCTACATATGTGTTTGCACACTAACACTAAACAACACGAAGATATTTAGAAATGACTGGAAGGGAGAAGGTGGTTTTTAGAAAGATGTTGTTTTTCTTTTTTTTTTATCATGTGGTACGTTAAAGCTGGTGTTGCCATCCGTCATGAGTGGAGGAGTGAAAACTCTGGGTCCCGTTACTCTCCCGTTACTCTGCCCTTACTCTTATGTTGCGGGCATGCTCCATGAGGTTGCTTGGTTTCTTATTGTTAACATTGTAGGGATGTAGGAATGTTGTAAGGTTGGGAGGCTGGGAAGGCTGCCATTCTCATTCATCGGTCAATAATCCACAGGGCAGAATGTCACTGAGATGCCAAGGGGCCTCTGGCCTTTCATTGACTCACCACCTTCCCCCATAACCCTAGGGCAGCTGGCAGGTAGTGGAATGCCTGCATTTCCCAAAGACAAAGCTGACCTATCAATACGGCTCCTAGGAATGCACAGCTCAGTTCAGAGCATCACAAGAAATCAGTAATAATGAGTAATAATGTTGGTCACTAAGCTAACTTATCAGTGCACACAGTGATGTGAAGA